CCTTGTGGCAGGCAACCCGTTTGCAGACAAAGTCTTCTACGTGAATCCTTCGTACAAAGTCTCCTTGAGCACAAGCATCGCAACAGCATCTGGTGAAGTCAAGGACACACTGGAAGCAATGATGAATGTACCGTCCGCCTATTGGTTGGACAAGAAGGACAAAATCTTCGGTAGCACAACCAGTTCCATGGAGGGCATTTTGGAAGATGCTTTGAACAAGCCAGTCCCAGAGCTGGTAGTGTTCATCGTGTATGACTTGCCAAACCGTGATTGCCATGCAAAAGCTTCGAATGGAGAGATTTGCTGCAAATACAAGCCTGACGGCAGATGTGACTACCAAGATGAGGCTGATGGCTGCAAAGATGGCTTGAAAGAGTACCAGAAAGAGTACATCGACCCGATCGCAAAGGTTTTGAAGAAGTACTCTGGTCGTGTTCCAGTCGTGCTTGTTATTGAGCCGGACTCCTTGCCAAACCTGGTGACCAATGAGGCTGACCCAAGGTGTGGCAATAGAGGCACCAAGAATGCCTATGAGAATGGCGTTAGCTATGCAGTGAAGACATTAGCCAAGGCAGATCCATATGCAGGTATCTACATCGACGCCGGTCACGGTGGTTGGCTGGGTTGGAAAGACAACATGAAGGACTTTGTGAACCAAATCCAGCGCATGGACGTGGCCAAGGATATCCGTGGGTTCGCATCAAATGTTGCTGGCTACCAGTACTTGGGGGAGGCTTGTGATACTTATGATTACTGCCTCGGTGGTCAGCACAATGGTGACTCTTGCTGCTATGACCCATGTGGACTTGTCAGCGAGTGGAACCCCTCTCACAACGAGCTCATGTATGCCCTCCATTTGCGAGAAGCCATGTCCAATGGCATCGGAGGCTTTGAGCCTCACATGATCATCGACACGGGCCGCAACGGTGTGGCAGACATGAGGACACCACTGTGCCGTCAAACTGCAAGAGAGTGCTGTTAGCAATTTGTTTGAAAGCATGATGTTCAT